TAAAAGTATAAATACACATTTTAAATGTTTTCTTTCCATAACAATAGCGTATGCTGTTTAATATTTGTAGCTGTTGAAACTGATAATTACTATAGGATCCAATTAGTATTTATTACAAGAGGTCGTGAGGGAGTGACTTTATTTTTGACCTATTTCAGGGGTCGCGACACTAAAAAAGTGGAGAAGCAACGCCCTAGACAATAGTCCATATTATTATTATAGTTACACTTATAAAATATACACTACATTGGCATCCATAACAAGAAAATAGATAAAATTAGTAGAAACTATTTACTTAGTGAACCTATTTCATGATTATTTTGTTGGCGTTTCTAGTGTTCGATAACRTTGAATACCCAATCAATAAAATATTAATTGTTTGACTTTAAAAAAATTGTATTTCYTCATTTCTCTGAGCATTTAAAAAACTATTTAAAAATGGTTTCATCAGTAGTTGAGTATTGAGTATTATATAATATAAGTATACTTATATATTAAACTCTGAACAAAATTACTAATTTTTTAGCATATTATAACTGCATTTAACGATGAAAAACTATCCTAAATGTTCTTTAGCAAGATTGTTATAATACTATATCATAATTTTTATATTATGTGATATACATATTACGTGCAAAAATACTGTGATACTTTAATACAAACAAAATTAGATCAGTATGAGAAATTATTGCGTATGACATTCAATTGTTTTTTTTTTTGTTAGTTTTTGATATTTTTTGTTATTTAGAGGTCTTCAAAGATCTCTTGGGATTTACGGTGGAAATTTAATTTTTTTTTTTCATTTATAAATGGTTTCCATTGGTTACTTGGACACACATGAGGTAAAAGCGTGTATCAAATCGTCACGTTTACATAATATTATGATCTGATTTAAGAAATTATATCTTAAAACTAAATGTATGTGGCCAGTGTATAATATCTATAACAATTCCCAAGTCGTTTCTCACTAATTTAATATTAATACTTAGTAAAAAGTGCTGAAGTTTTTTTTTCTCTGATCAGAATTCAAATAAATTGTYACAAAAAACAGATTTTACATATACGTAACCTACATTAAGTGCTCGAGAATATTACTTACATATTATATAAATTTATTTTTTTCATAACAAAGTTCAACAATAAATTAGCGATATATCTTCAAAGACATAGTCATAGGACCTCCAATATAATAATAAAACATGTAAGAATAAATATAATATAATCATTGAACACTAACCAATAAATAATAATGTATGCTTATTTTTTATCTTAACAGTTTCTTATAAAAGGTTATTTTTTTCATTTTTATATCATTATATTATACTTACATAATGGAGGTTTATTGTTACACTTGAAACTCATTTTATCAAAAAGTAGTGACTTTTTCTAATTTATATTAATTTATAATAAATTACTTTTATTTTATAAAATATTTAACCATCATGGTACATTTTTAAAATAAATATATTTTACAACTTTTTATAKTAATTATTTACTTTTTTTTTAACGAAACATACATTTGTATGTATGAACAATTTAAACAAAAATCTAATTCCGTAAAAGTTCATACAGGTATAGTAGATTTATTATAAATT